ACAGGGGCGTGAGAGAAGACAGAAAAAAGAAAAATGTAATGAACAGTGTTAGCTTGTACTTCTGCATAGCAACTCAAGAAGGATAAAGTTCATGTAATTGAATACTTGCTCAGTGAGCTGAGCTTAATAGTGTATATGACTAATCAGTGTAGTTGAAGTAATACGGTGACCATGGGAGTGAGAGATAGACTACACTCTCTTTCTTTGTCCATCATTTGGATCTGAAACGCTTGATTGCAATCGCTTCAGCAAATCGTAGTTCATTCGCTGTCCTTTGTATGTTTATTATTTTGAAGGATTTGGAAATCTCGACAAATTGATCCGCATCCACACGATGGGTGTCAAGTAATTGCACTTTGTAAATATCTGGTTCCTTTTAAGCATAAGTTTCTTGGAATATGCTCTAAAAACCGGATATAAGCTCTTCTTTCTGTCCTAACAATGTATCTGCTGCCTCAGGTGCACGTAAATTTATAAATGCAGTTGGATATAACATCAACAGCGTATCAATAAAAAGTTTGAGCTACTACGGCGTACCACCGACAATTATACATCTCATCCAACAGCTGTACGACAATGCTGCATGTCAAGTAATCCACAACGGGAAACTCACGGAATCCTTCGAAGTGAGGACAGGAGTAAGACAAGGCTGCCTACTATCGCCAATGATTTTCCTGATTGCAGTAGACTGGATAATGCGACAGACAGCGGGCAATGAGGAAACAGGCATAAAATGGACTTACACAAAAGACTTGGAGGATGTGGACTTCGCCCATGATGATATATTTCTGATTTCACACAAACTGGAAGATATGCAAGTGGAAAGCAACAAGTTGGCGATAGAAGAAGCATGCAGAGAAGATAGGCCTTCATGTGAACATAGAGAAAACAGAGGTGTTGAAGATTCCTAGTCAACACCACCAACAGCAACAATAACCACAACAACAGACAAAAATCAGCATAAATGGAAGGAACCTGAAAGAAATAACCTCTTTTACCTACCTACCTACCTTGGAAGCATCGTTTCAACTACAGGCGGAACTGACGAGGATATCAAAGCAAGGATCAGAAAAGCAAGACAAGCTTTCACTACTCTCATGTCTGTGTGGAGGTCAACAGCACTCAGCATCAAAAATAAGATCCAGATTTTCAACTCCAATGTGAAGTCAGTCAGTGCTACTATACGGATCAGAGACTTGCACTGCGCGTCATAAAGAGTATCTCAAACAAACTACAGACCTTCATTAACAGTTGTCTTCGCTCAGTAATCAAGATCAGATGGCCAGAAAAGATCAGCAACAGGAATCTCTGGCAATGAGCGAACCAACACAGCAGGAGCCGATTGTGAAACAAATAGGCAGGAAGAAATGGAGATGGACTGGCTGGTCATACTCTGAGGAAAGCATCAAGTGACATCACTAGACAAGTCATTGCTCGAGTGGAACCCGAAAGGTAAGCGGCGATTTGGTCGTCAGTGCAAGGGTGACTTGGAGGAGGTCATGTGAAGAGGAGATGAAAAAGTGTGGGCAGACATGGAGCATAAACTTGAATGTCCCACTAGGAACACAATGCAGTGGAAACGAAACCAATGGTTTAATCAATTGTAAATTATAGGAAACACATAAAATGTTATTAGTCACTGGCTTGTAACCATGGTGATGCGTCTAACTCTCAGTAGTCTTGACTGAATTCTGTCAGTGAAAACTATTAATCGGTGAGGCAAGTTGGAACCTCCATGAAGATATTGGTTACATGGAGATTAGGTTAGAAGCTCCATTTTGATGATAACCATTAAGCACAAAACTGAATTCACGAATTCGCCCAACCATCAGATATCAGTTCCAATCGCAGTGTAGTATTCAGTCACCCACCTTGGTAACCACGTCACCACATGCCAAACTGACAGTATGCACGCAGCGCAACAATGGCTAGTATACACATGGCACTGATTGTTTACTAGTTATATATTGATGTAATAGTTCAACAAATCATCACTTCGAAGTTGAACACTGATGGCCTCACTTTCAAAGCTGTCTTGGTAAGTTATTAAGTCAAGTGATTTCAGACAACACTCTGCATACTCAGCTGTTCCCGGTTTGTTCAGATTTGTCAACGGTGACACTGAATAAGCGAGAACACACTGAAATCACTGTGAAAAGATCAATGAGGGTGGATGGGACCTTTTCATTACACTGAACTACAATTTATTCATATCCGTGTGGTCTATGTCGTCTACTTATAAGAAAATCATTTACATTTACGTCTGATAAATAATCTGAAGGAAATGGAGAAGGATTGAGTGAGCGCTGAGAAGATTTTGAATGATATCTCCTTACTATTGTCGAAGAGAGATCTGAGTAACAGGAGACGAATAACGATCGTACGGTGACATTGAGGATATCATGTGAAGTGGAAATATTGGTGGAATATGAGAGTAATCTGCAGATTTATTCCTTCAACTCATATCCTGTGTGCCTGATTTCTCAAACCGAAATGAACTCGTAAGAACCTCGTTCTACTCGAATTGAATAATCACTGCACTCATTACTAGACAGAACACCAAAACATAGTGGAACAAGCATTAACGTGGATTGGAAAAACACTGACTGAACACTTACAAATATTTCGAAGGCTAAACTCCTAATCCCAATGTGAATTTTATTCCTCCTCACGTATTTTCCAGTGATTATTGGATTAATAATACTTGTGCATTGTAAAATAATCTTGTTACAGTTTGTATTCATTTTGGGGCTTTAGAAGTCATGAGTACTGTATTTGTAATATGTTTAGAATCGTGAATTACTCTGCTGGTGGTTGACGGAATAAAACATATTGCTAAGTCATTCAAAAAGCATAGGATTATGTGTGGACTAGTATTTGGACATATTAAAGTGGGACAAATACTGTTCACGCCTCAGTCCTCTTGTTTTATTCTCCATGGTGAGAAAGTGCGATGAGTAGGTGAGAAATAACCACGGGAACGACGACCGAACTGAACCAAATTTTTTTGTAGATGTCTGATTACACGTTCAGTTGCAGTTCATGTTTTCCAATTCGCGAAACTCCATGTATATTAGATGAACCATATTTGAATTTCACAGGAATTTAATTTAGATGAAATATGCAAGCTTAGGATTGATCACATGAATAATGATCATAGAGATACCATTGAAGGTGACAGATGACAAGGAGTTATTGAATGCATCAGCAGATGTGAGATCAATTTTGAGCCATTTTACCATCAATATCGAAGCATTGGCTTTTCAACTCGTGGTCCGGAACCAAGTTGATTAGATCTTCCTATGTATCTCAGATCATCAGTTGTAGACTGCAAGGCTTTGTGCAGTGCTTTGATTTGGACCTCTGCTGTCATTCTTTTGTAGCCTTACCCTAGTCAGCTAACACTGTTTTATGCGAAATGTGATAACTCTGCACGAGTAGCACACTAATAGGTTATTTTGAGGATTATGAACTCACAATGTCGTCGACTGATTTTCCGTCCTTATCAAACACTCTACGCACGGTCTCATTTTTACTGATCATAATGCCGCCTAACTGCTGTGAACTAAACATATACTTTGATGGAGGTTATGACAAAAATATGTTGAAAATTAAATTGAGATGATGATAAATGTTTATGCTGAAAAAGAGAATCAGAAACCTCCAGTAGATTCATCAGTTCTAGTGTTTAGGCCTAATCGACGTTCTTTTCTGAACATTTAGCCACCATGTGCAGAAGTGGTCTCTGATCATCTTGTTAAATGTACGACTATTTGAATGTCTAACATCCATTTTATCATCCTGTTTTTATTGCTAGCCTCATGCCCAACCTTTCCCCTTTACCAGTATTATTGCTGACTTAGCGAGGTAAAGTCGTGGATTGAATGGGAATAGATTCACGGACCACATGAGTAGTCGACTAGCATTCGTATCACTGTACCACCGACGCCTGTTATCGACATATTGGCAATTATGTATAGTGTTCATTTACTCCTAGCACATATATTTGGGTGACGTCTGAGAAGAAATTACTATAAACATCATTGTTCTCTGAGATATTAATGTGTGCTTCCTACAACATTTATGACAGCCTTCATTGCATCTGTTTCTTAGATGAACACAGAAGTAATCTTCTATTTGATTAGTCTGACTACGACATTTGCATTCTAATATTGTTTCAGTCATGTTATTCGAAATCATGCAAAGGCTATAAGGCGCTCAGTAGAATGGAAATGAATCACATGATAAATTGAAAGAAGCAGTTCCAGTAAAACATTCTCAACTGAACTTATGCACACTGCAGGCGTGAGAATGTCATTGGTCTCTCATTGAGTTTAGTGGAGTCATTTCGATTTTCACTGTGTTGACTGAGTCATCAATAAAGTTAGTGTCAGCTCACCAATTCGCTTTCAATCCTACGGTTTTCCCAGATTCCTAATCAGAGTCTCTTTGTCATATTGTCGACAACGCAAAGCGAAATGGTACAAGTGGTGTGTAGAGGATCAAACAAGCGTTTCACATTAATTAGGCCGTCAACGATCAATTTGTTCATCCTTGCTGACTGAAACGCACCGTGGTCAATATAACTTTAAGGGGCAAGAGCTTGACAGCTTCGTTGTGGTGTGATTATCTACTTATACTCTCTCTTCACAGATCATCGTCAACAAATACATCTTCCAGCAGACATAGGTGTTACATGCTTTCCTTGCTAGTTGAGACGGTGTCAAGGGCAGCGTTTAGTGTAGCTGGCGCTCAAGTCCAGCAGGAATGATAGCAACACATCAGTCGTGAGTGTTATTTATTTTTGATCGTGAATATGTACTAGCAGTCTTGTTGACGCTAGCGATTGGTTAATATTACACTGAACACTGTGTGCAGAAAACGTTTTTCCAGTCTCTTATTCTACCTTAGTTTTAAAATCAGCAGCCTTGTTTCTAATCTAATAAAAATTCTCATCTAGTCGAACATTCCAATTCCTTATTCTTTTCAATCATTAGCTGTTAACTACGTTTTGCATTGAGAAACCAGTTCTTTGTAGTTCTATCAACTTCGTCATCGTCTTCTGCATCACTCAGTAATTGACTGTTACACGCCTTTGGTAAACAGAAGCAAAAATTGACTTTAAAACGGACTGGTACTTGCTGGTTACAATTTCTAATTTTTTTATCATTTTAACTCTAACCAACTGAAAGTTGCAATCGATATGCATGTACGAAGTTGAAAAATTATGGGATAAAACTAGGGAAATTCCGGTGCTTTCAACTTAATGTATTACTTTACGCGCTGTGTTTAACCTGTCAGGGACGTGGGATGGAGCTGAGAAAAAAAAGCTTCAAAACGCATCTCTAATTTCACCTCTAGACTAAAACACTGAGAAAACATTTGAGTCAACAATTTCTTATTATATAGAAAGCCCTAAAATTTTCTCCTTCATCCCCTTTTCGTTAAAATTAGCTTTCAACTCACACTTATTGACTTTGAGTAATATGTTAGCAGCATCCACTATTTTGGGGATTTCATGCATCTATGTTCCCCTCTCCGTCACAGTTGACATGGTATATGCTGTAGGTGGAATTTATTTACAAATTCTGCAAATGGACTTGAGTTTTGTCCACACATGATACAAATGTGTTTTTTGCCGGTAAATGCCAGCATTCAACATGCCTGTCGTATGCATGATGTCAAGAAGAGATTCATTTCGTAATATAGATCTAACCTCACCATTACCTTTGATAAGCACCCACTTAATCTTGACACATGGTGAACTCCACTGGTTATGACTCCCCACTGGGGCTTCAGGATATCTATGCAGTAGCCGTTAGTGAGCTAACGATTCATATTTGGATTATGGAGATATAATGAACAGTTGTTAAGAGAATGGCGTTAAGAGAATGAATACTTTAATTAAAGCCGAATTACAAAGATTAAATGCTCTCTATAACCAGAAGTTTCTTTCCTGTAAATCCTCATCTAATATGTGGAAGCTATTAAAGGAAATCACAGGTGGTAAGCAAATAATGAATGATACTTCCGTTGATGTTGATATGCTTAATAAATCCTTCATATGTATCCCTGCAGATGTTATGATTCCCAAATCTAATAGTATAAATAATGACTGCTTCTCATGTTTTAGCACGAATGATGTCCTTAAGTGTCTTCAGTCTCTCAAACCTACCCAGTCCCTTGGTCCTGATGGAGTTCCTGCTGTTATCCTTAAGAAGTGTGCTGACATCTTATGTTACCCATTAACCGACATTTTCAATGAATCTTTTTCCAAAAGTTTTATTCCTGACTCATGGAAAAATATCAAGGTTGTTCCAGTGCCCAAATCAACAAGTGAACCTACTGTCAAGTTTAGACCCATTGCTATTACCTCACCTTTTTTAAAAGTTATGGAAAGACTTATTTTACTTAATCTTGAACCCTCTTTAAAGCCTTTTGATGACCCCAACCAGTTTGCCTATAAACATAGTAGGTGTACGTTAGATGCCGCTGTAGTTCTATATCATAGTCTCTAGTTTAGATAGAGGAGCCAAATGTGTTCGGTGTGCCTTCCTTGATTACACATCTGCATTTGACTCTGTACCTAGGTCTCTCTTGTTAAGTAAGCTTGCTGCAACACAGACTGAGAGCTGGATAAATAAGTGGTTGTATTCCTACTTTTCTGATAGGAAGCAGTACACTGTCTACAATGGAAAGTCCTCCACTACCTCACTTACTTTAGCTGGTGTTCCTCAAGGTGCTGTTCTTTCTCCTTTTCTGTTTTCTTTTTTCTTACATGACTTGCCCCATTCTGATGTAGCAACTTTTGTCAAGTATGCTGATGACCTCTCTGTCTCCATGCCTGTCATCTCTCAGTCAGACTGTTCCATATTAAATAACTTTCTCTCGGAAATTAGTCAGTGGTCCTCTTCAAACGGTCTTAAGCTGAATCCGTCTAAATGTCAGGTAGTAAATTTCTCTTTCAGACGAAAAAGTGACCTACAACAACTAGCTAGCTCACATGGTCCCACTATCATTGACGGCATAGAGGTTGAAACCACATCAAATGTCAAGTACCTTGGACTGAGTATTTCCTCCGATCTTTCCTTGTCCTCTCACATCTTGCTAGTTACTAGAAAGATGTTTCGCTTAACGTTCTACGTTAGGAAGTTTAGGCAGTCTGGTATAAAGCAGTCTTTGCTTTCTCGGTTTGTCAATTCCTGCATTCTACCCATCCCTCTTTACTGCTCCCCATTAATCTTTCCAGGACTACTTAAGAAAGACTTTACTTCGCTGCGTAGGGCACTAAAAGCTGTTAGTAGGGCAAGTGGGATATCGTTAAACCAACTGGTTAACACCATAGTGGATAGACATATAATGTCATGTAAGAAACTAGCGAATACTATATTGTCAGACCCTGAGCATCCTCTCTATACACAGCTCTCTCCTTGCATTTCATCTGGTAGAACTAGAAGTAACTATAGGAAGCTATATGCCAGGACTACCAAGTATAAAAACTCCACAATACCCTATCTGGCACAGCTGTTATGTGATGAGAAAACTGTTAGGCATGACACTGTAGTACCCCTGTACCAACTATAAACATACGTTTTTAATCTAATTTGCATACTCATATTATATGTTTACACATACCGATTTTCTATGTACTTCGTAAACATTTGTCAATTTACTGTTGAACGTTACCTTGATACAATTTTGAAATTTGACTACGGCTATAATACACGATTATACTCTTCACAAGTGCCTTCTGATTTTACGTTGTGGGCGTCGAGTAGCCACAACGTCTGCGCACATTGATAAACGTGAAGAAGTACTAGGAAATACGTGTACGCTCATTTAGTCAAATAGAACACGCAACAAATTGGTGAGCCCCGACGACAAATTGCTGACTCCGACGACGACAACTTTTTGACCTCGACGCGTCATTACACTTACTGGATTATTAAAACTCTAACTTTCGCGGATCTATATATTTATTAAACAATTCGAACTCATTTTTGTGTTTGCTCATAGCACAACCTGCAGTAATTTGTGGTAAGCACCTGCATTGCATTTTTTCTGTTTTGCCATATTCTTATTGTGCACAAATTTTGCCATTTTGCTACTCTTAAACCATTTTTTTTACGAATTGTAACATGTCTTCCAATACCTCTGATAACTTAGAGCTGGGATCTGTTAGTACTATTTCTCTTTCTGTACCAGTTTTTAAGCCCAGAGACCCTCATCTTTGGTTTGCTCGACTGGAACATTATTTGGCTAGCAATAAGCTAACGTCACAGACAGCTAAATTCTGCATTTTGAGTACAGCACTACCAGACGAAGTCGCCGAGCAGGTACGGCAATACATCGTTCATCCCAGCACAGAAGCACCTTACGACAAGTTGAAGGAAGAGGTACTGCGATGCACTTCGCTTTCAGATAGGCAAGCACTCGATCGCCTGTTAAGCAATGTTGAGTTAGGTGATAAAACCCCATCTCAACTCATGAGGCATATGCAAAGCCTAGTTGCAGGAAGAGAAATCGATAAACGTCTCTTTTATCAAATCTGGCTGCGACGACTTCCCGCAAACATCCAGCAGGTTCTTGCTTTCGGAGACGACGACATTGACATAGAAAGGCTCACCGAAATCGCGGATCGCATGTACGAGAGGTCAACACCTCAATCTGTCGCTTCCACTAGCAGAATACCAGACACTCACGATAGAATACAGACTCTAGAACACAAAGTCGACACCTTACTGAGTCAGTTAGCAAAACTGACTACACGCACACAACCAAGCCGTTCTAGAAGCTCGTTTCGTCGACATCTTTCTCGATCCCCTAGCACGTCACGACATCGCGATAATATTTGCTGGTATCACCGTAGTTATGGAAGCAAAGCACGACGGTGCCGTTCACCTTGCAATTTTCAGACTAAACCAAAAGATATATCGTCATGTGTAAAAAATACTGTTGGCAACCTACGATCTAACAGTCGTTTGTTTTATGTAACAGATAAAAATACCGGTACTACATTCTTAGTTGACACAGGAGCAGAGGTGAGTGTTCTCCCTCCGTCTACACAGGAACGTCAACATCCTGACCCAGCAGTTACGCTCCAAGCTGTTAATCAGTCCAGTATTGTTACATATGGAAGTAAACGAATGACTTTAGATTTTGGTTTAAAGAATACCTACACTTGGTCTTTCATCATTGCAGACGTCCCATCCCCAATCCTCGGTATTGATTTTCTGCAGCAACACAAACTGTTAGTTGATCCGATAAGCCCCAAGCTAATAGATTCGCTCAATAAAACGTACATTGCTGGTACGATTAGCCGTGCATCATCACTGAACTTGATGGTCACACGCACACCAGCATCTCCATATACCAATTTGGTAAATCAGTTTCCTGACCTTTTAAAACCTTCTTTTCGAGGAACAGAACCGAAGCATCATGTGGTTCATCATATTAAAACCACTGGACCGCCAGTTTTTGCACGTCCACGACGCCTTGACCCATATCGACTTAAAATCGCCAAAACAGAGTTCGATAAAATGCTAGAGCTTGGTATTATTCGACCGTCCAACAGCTCTTGGTCTTCACCGCTTCACATGGTACCCAAAAAGTCTTCTGGTGAAATACGGCCGTGTGGTGATTATCGAGCTTTAAACAAGCAAACGGTACCTGATAGATACCCAATACTACACATCCACGATTTTGCTAGCAACTTACCAAATGTTAAAGTTTTCTCTAAAATCGATCTGGTCCGAGCGTATCCTCATATCCCTATCCACCCGGATGACGTTCCGAAAACTGCCATTACCACACCATTCGGTTTATATGAATTCGTACGCATGCCATTCGGACTTATGAACGCCGCTCAGACATTTCAACGCCTAATCGACCAAGTACTCCGTGGTCTCCCTTTCGTCTACGCATACATCGATGACTTACTAATTGCAAGTGCAGACGAAGCCGAGCATTTGAAACATGTGAAGACAGTGTTTGAAAGACTTAACCAATACGGAATGACTATCAACTTAGACAAGTGCGAATTCGGTAAGACCTCACTGAAATTCCTCGGCCATTTAATCGATAGCCAAGGAATCAGACCAGTTCCTGATGACGTACAAGCCATCAAAGAGTATCCATTACCAGATTCTTTTAAA